CCTCCGCCCCCTCCCCCCGCGGACTTCCTCGTGCTCTTGGCCGGGCTCCAGGCCAACAACAAGAAGAAGCGTTGGTTTACCATCGACGAGCACCTGCCCGAGCTGGTGATCGTCCCGCCGAACTCCGACTTCCACAAGGACCCCTTCTACCTCAGCGGGCACATCATCCTGCAGGACAAGGCCAGGTGCGGCGGGCCTTTCTTTCCTGCCCCTCCCCGCCTCCTTCCCTCTCCTTCTCTCTCTCTCTCTCTCCCGCTCGCTTGCTCGCCCCACAGTCGCCCAGGCCATCTGCCTCCTCTTGTTTGGCTTTCGCTGGCTGTGTGCGTGCGACATTTTGACCCTCCGCGCCTGGACATCGTCCCACCGGCGCCGGGGTTGCAGTTGCTTCCCGGCTCGGGCTCTCGCCGCGCCGGCCGGCTCGGAAATCATCGACGGCTGCGCGGCCCCCGGCAACAAGACCACCCACCTGGCGGCCCTGTCGCGCGGCACCGGCCGCGTGTACGCCTTCGACGTGGACCAGCGCCGGCTCAACACCCTGATTGTGCGTGCGCGTACACACCGGCGCCTGGGGGCCCGGCGTCCCCTGGCGTCTTTGCCGACACCCCGTCCGGTGACTGACCCCCGCCGCCCCCCCCCCTCTCTTCCCCCCTCGGCTGCTGTTGGACCTCCCTGCGGCAACGGGGCCCGACAAAAAAAAGACCATGACCAAGCGCGCCGGCGGCCTCGACTGCATCACCCCGATTCACACGAGCTTCCTGGATGTGGACCCGCTGGACGCCAAGTATGCCAATGTCACGCACATCCTGCTGGACCCTTCGTGCTCGGGGTCCGGCATTGTGTCCCGGTGCGTGTGGCCCCACAAGCCCGTCACAGCCTTGCCCCATGTGGGTTTGCACCTGCCGCCGGTCTGGTATTTACCCGTGCCCCGCCGGCCGCCGCCGGTCCCCCCCCCCATTGTCGGCCGACCCGCCAGCATGGATGCCCTCGTTGACGAGGAGGAGGTCACCGATCCGGCTCGCCTCGAGGCGCTGGCTGCCTTCCAGGAGAGTGCCATCGCCCATGCCATGCGGTTCCCGGCCATTCAGCGGGTACGTGTGCCGCCCCAGGGCCCGGCTCCCTCTCCCCCCTCTCCCTCCCTCTCTCTCTCTCTCTCTCTGCCCCCCTCGGCCCTGTGCGCCCTTGCCCGCGCGCTAACGGACACCCATCGGCCGTGCTGCCCCCCCCCCCCCCCCCTCCCCGACGTGCAGATC